TATTCTAAGCTATCTTTTCAATATCTTATTCTGAAATGAGAAGTATTGATATCCTCTGTTGGTTTCGAGTCTAAAGTTTTTTGAGGAGTCCTTACTTTTCATGGTATTTTATTAAGCCAGACACATGAATATATATGTTGCCTTATAAGAAGACCACATTATCCTGTCTTTTTCAGCTGTAGTTATCACACTACCTAAATAGATAAAAGTAATGCGGACATTTTTGGAAACTATTCGATTTTAAACTACATTTGAAGGGGGCCCTTAGAATTTTCATTTATTTTTATTTTTCCATATAAAATTGGATGGGAGGGGATTTCAGTTGGTATCATTGGAATCCTAAGGGGAATTAACTCTGAGTTTATGTGGCTAGGCTGTTTAGTGAAATAGATCTTTTTGCGAAATTACATTTGTTTACTGCCAGCTTTCAGAGGAATTGTGGTCCCTTTTTAAGGATCGCTTGTTAGAAATTGTTTGATGGCATTTTTGGCTTACACTGAAAATAATTCAAATCACTAGCGCCTGAAGGAGTTTAATGTCTCATAGATAAAGACAAACTTATTAGACAGCTAATAATTTTCAGCTCAACGCTATCTTAGTCTTGACGAATCCTCATTTATGCATACTATTGAGAGACCATCTGAAATGCCATGTGGTATGCTGTTTTAAATGGAACAAGTTAGTGTGAGAGGGAAAATAACAATTAATTTGGTAAATAATAAGTACTAGCGAAAGGCGAATGAGAGCCAATTCACATGAAGAGTCTTTTTTTGGCTCCAGATGAGACAAACATAGAAATTGTTTTTAATTAATTTGTACATGAAGAATTATTTAACTCAAATTATCGGCTAGGTTTTTTCTTTTGTAGATTTCCTCTTTGGTAATGGGTGATAGATGTACTATTATTTTAATTCTCTTGGAAAGCTAGTCTGAATATTTTCTGCAATTGAACTTTTCTTGTCTTAGTCGAATTGTGATTCCGACCTTGCATAGCTAGTGGGATTCGAATCCATTGTCTTAACTATTATTCCCTTGAAATTCTGATTTAAGGTAAACTCATATCTTTCGATGTCGAATGATGCTTTGTTTTTATAAATACAAAGGATTTCACAAATCCTGAAGTTCTGAACTTTCGTAACTCAACACCTAAATCAAGATGATGAGCCAATAAGATTTGCCTTTCTAGTATAGTAAGAGTCCGCTGTCGTATTCGGGTTGGATCTACCTTCAAATATCTTCATGACAAATTTTCACTAATTAAAAGTGAGCTCATTAATCCTTAAAATTAGTCGCACAATCAGCTAGCCTCCTATTCAGTTTCTGGCAATACGAATTTAAGTATTCGTTATATTAGAGGCTTGCTCAGAAATGAAGGGTCAATTCGAATGGAATTCTTCGAGGATTTTTTGAAACTTGCTTTTTTCAACATCTTGCAAGGTCAAGAGGCTTTGCATAGATCTTGACCACCTCGAATATCTAAAGAATTTAAGTATCACGGTAAGAATCAAAATTTCGATCTTATCTTATCCTGTAAAATTTAAGAACCATTATTTTTGCATGTGTATATTTACTTGACAAGAAGCAGCTGTTTAGGTGCTACCATCTTGTCCAGTCTTTTGTAAACTTTATAGAAATCAATTTTCGCGCTTAAGATTTCATAGATTTACCAAGCTCATCTCATAAAAATTACTAATGGTGATTCACTTATTCTACTTGATAATAATAATAATTCAAAAATGGATTTAATATTTCAATGGCTTTGGCAATACTTCTCATTCGGATTCTACCTTTTTTAAGCGATGCTTTTATCCAAACTCATATTAACTTATTTACTGATCAATATTTCTTGTGCATATTGAATCGAGTTATTATTTTATTTGTATGCTAAGGGATACACTCTTTATTATGCTCTTATTTTATTAGTCAATCTCCTGTACGAATTTTCGCGTCAATCAATCATCTATTGGAGCGCTCGATTCTCCCGCTATTCCTACCGCTCCTGCTCAACCGCCTATCCTTTTGGCTCCTAGACCAACAAGTGGCAACACAACCATCTTACCGACTCTTTCAGAGCGGGGCCCAGGCTGTGCTGGCATCAGGGGCCAAGGCACCGTTGGGAACGGCTTATTTCAAGCAAACGGTTTGGCCTGTGGAGGAACTGATGGCAGTCCTAATAGCATTGCTAGTAGCACCGGAAGTGGCAGCAACAGCAATGGCAGCAGCAGTGAAGACGGTAGTAATAGTAGTGATGGGGGTAGCACTAGTGGTGAAAGTAGCACCGGGAGTGTAAGCCTCGTTGCTGGTACAAGCGAATGCAGCAGCTCTGCTCTTTCACCTATGGAACATACTAGTCTTATTCCTAGTCTCTATCCAGCTGGACTATGCCCTGCCGAGGCGAGGGCTGCAATTGCACGCCTCAAGGCAGACCGTCAGCGTCAGTGGGAGATGCAAGCGATGTGTTCCGTTCGTGGATTTGTCAATTCCATCAGTCTGTCAGCTAAACCAAACCTCCAGGTATCCATTTTTATCATGTTTCTTTTTAGTCTAATAATTGTGGATGGTTATGCGAAGTTCACTTGCTAAATTTCAGACAAATATCTGTTTTGTTTGGCTTCTGGTTCCGTTTTATAAGATGCATATTACATATGTTGCCATAAGTAATAATGTGTAAGCAGGCAATCAGACAAATGTTACTCCTGGATTGCTGAGCAGATTGCTTCTGTCAACGTGGATTGAGAGTACATCGGCTGAAAATCTAGGAAAAAATTATTTGACTACCAGATTAAGTATGTGTTTCATAACTTCGTGCACCCTCTAAAAATTAACATCCCCCCCAGGATTATTTACATAAAAATTTGAGACAAACGATGCAAAATTTGCCAAAGTTGGCCTTATAAGTAGTCATCGAAATTATGAAGACTCCAAAGTATCTTGCCCTTGTATTGAGGTAGGTTGACTTCATTTTTGCATCTTGACCACGTTTTCAGGAACATAGCTTGGCGCATCTTGTCCCGACTCCTCTGCTATGGTGGTACTTATAATTTCCATACATATATATATTTGATA